ATCATGGCGAATGGGGGAAAGGCATATGCCCCTTGTTGTGGCCAGTGCTGAGTGAAGGCATCTACCGCTAAGCAATCCGGGTCAGGTAGCCAGCTGTAGAATTGCGGGACCTGACGGTTGTTTCGTGAGGCAAAAAGATCCAGTATGAAGGGTCCCTTCTGGTCCTGTAGGTGTGCGAATATTCGCGGATCCAGCTGCCAGTCGCTGGCATCCCTCCAATGACGGGAGTACCAATCCGCCGTGAGGTTCGTCTCCCCCGGCAGGTGCTCTGCCCGTAGTGAGATATTGCGCGGGAGGCAGTAGTCGAAGATTTCCTTCGTCAGATGCGCCAGGGTTCTCGACCAGGTGCCCCCCAAGCGGTTGATGTATCGTACCGCGGATACATTGTCCATTCTTAACAGTATACAGCAATTGGACTGCCCTTTTGTGAGGCTGCGGATAGCAAAGGCGCCCACTAGCAGTTCGAGGCAATTGCTATGCATCGACAATTGCTGTGGTGTCCACGTGCCCCCTGTGGCCGTTTCTCCATCCGTGGCGCCCCATCCTAGGCGACTCGCGTCCGACTCCAGGATGAAGTCCGGTTGACTGCCGAATATGGCCCGACCATTCCAGGCCTGCATGCAGTGGAGCCACCACTGGAGTTCTTGGTATACTTCCTCCGACAGCGGGACTGGCTGGTTGTATGTGGGATTTTGGCGGAGGAGGTTGGCCTTCAGCCGTTGCATCGCTCGGTAGTGAAGGGGTCCCGGAAATATGGCTTGTATTGAAGATGATAAGAGACCCACAATCCGCGCCAGTTGGCGGAGCGGAATGGAATCCAATTTGAGAACCCTGCGGATCTCCTTCTTGATGGCCGTCACTTTGGCTGAGGGGAGATGTAGGGTGCAAGACCTGGAGTCGATCTCGAAGCCCAGGAATTGGATTCGTTGAGCAGGCGTCATTGTGGATTTGGTCTTGTTGACAACGAAGCCCAAGGATTCTAACAGTCGCACTGTATACGTAGTGTGCCGGATGGCCAGTTCCTTTGTTCTGCAGAACAAGAGAATGTCGTCCAGGTAAATTATGCATCTGATCCCGCGTGTTCGGAGGTGGGAAACCACCGGTTTTAGCATCTTTGTGAAGCACCACGGTGCTGAGCTCAGTCCGAACGGAAGGCACGTGAATTGCCATGGTGTGCCGTTCCACAGGAAGCGGAGAAATGGGCGGCTGTCTTTGTGGATTGGAATTGTGAGATAAGCGTCCTTGAGGTCTAGCCGCGTAAACCAATCCTTTTCTTGGAGGAGATCCCGCAATAAATGGATGCCCTCCATTTTGAAGTGGCGGTAGGTCACGAACATGTTTAGCCCTCTCAAATTGATCACTGGCCGGAAATCCCCGGTCTTTTTGCGGACCAGGAACATGTTGCTGAAGAATCCTCCCCTTGTGTGCGCTGGTTCTATAGCGCCCTTTACGCGAAGCTCGCGGAGTTCCCCATGTATGAGGCGAGTGTCCGCAGCCGAAAGACGCAAAGGATAAGGGGGAAACCTTTGAATGGGCTGTGATCGGAGTTCTATTTGATATCCTTGGACGGTCTGTAGCACCCAAGCGTCCGTGGACAGCAGGGCCCAATTCTGGGAAAAAAGTGAAACACGGCCTGCAATCACAGTTACAAGAGGTACCGAACAAAGGTGGTCTCTTACCTGTAGGGAATCGTGCACGGCCTCGTCCTCGACCGCCCCGTCCTCTGTCAGAACCCCTCTGGTAGTAGGGGAATGGTTGTTTGGCTCCGCTGCCTTGGTAACCTTGTTGAGGGAAGAATTGGTGCTGAAAGCCCATACGGGGGCCTGAAGGCCAGAAACGGCTGGCGGCACGGCCCCGCTGCCGACCAGCCCTTGAAAAAACACCCTTTGCGGAGGTACCTCGGAATACCTTACGCATAGACGTGCGGGCTCTACTCAAGGAGGTAAAGACGTTTACGTGCTTGTTCAATTCTTTCATAAAAGCTTCACCAAAGAGCTTGCCCTGTGCCTGTGGGCCCAATTCTTTGACCCCGAGGTCAACTAATTTGGGGTCGATACGAAAAAGTGCTGCCCGGCGCCGCTCCGTAGAGAGGGCCGCATTTGTATTACCGAGGAAACAAAAGCCCCTCTGGGCCCACTCTCGGATATCATGTGCCCATTCCCGTATCATGTCTGCCGTGAAGGAGTCCGCTCTGGCGTATGCTACGTCTGCCAGGTACATAACTCGGGCCAAAGGGCCCATTGTGTCTAGGAGTTTATCCTGAGCTCCTTTGAAACTCTTCTCAATCCCCCTCCGCGGGTCGCGGCCCCCTTGTTCCATAAAGGTCAGCATAAGCTGATCAAATTCCGGCGTATAGGCCACTTTATCTGGCAGGGTAGGTCTCGGGCACTCTGCCCGCATCCTCTTGCGGACGTGTTTTTCCAAAGGTTTCCTGATCCAAAAATGCATGAAGCGGAGGAGATGATCCGGAGGGGCCCACTCACTCGAACGAGGGTGGCGAATCTTCCTGGGATCAAACATTCTCTGGCCAGTGGAGTCCAGGAATATCTCCTGTTCCTGCGTGGCCGTGGCGGGGGGTTCCGCATCTCCTTTCTGCTGGGGCTCACCCAGAAAAGTCTCGGTGACGTAGGCGTTGGAGCCCCAACCGCCTTCGTCCGAGTCGGAGGATCCAGCCTGCCACTCATCCAGAACGGAGAGAGAGTGGGGCACGTCTTGCTCCTCATCTGAGGAGACCACCCCAGTGTACACGGGAGGTATCTGAGTAGTGCGTTTATCACGCTTCATAGGGGCCTTGCCTTTGAAGGCGGCTTTCTTGGAACCTTCGCCCTTCCAGTGGCGTTTCGCCGGGCGCTTCCTTTCTCTAGTGGAGTCCTCTGACTCATCAGAGTCTTCGTGGGCCTGGTGTGGCTTGTTAGACAGCGCGTTAGATTCAGCGGGGGCAGGAGCCGCCTTTGCCAGCGCCTTCTCCAGAGACGCAGCTACCGCTGCGTTGATCATAGCTTGAAGGTCACTGGTATTAATTGTGTCCTCCATTGTGGGCACCAACAGAGACTAACAGGCACAGGTATAGGTATGAGAGGTGAGGGACCGTGCGGGAGGGACTCAGGTTAAAACGCTCAGTGGCGTGGTACCGGACTCCTAATCGCTGGGGCTCACCCAGGGTCACAGGGAACTGCTTGGACAGTCCCCGCTATGCAGCACTCAATGGGGGCTCACCCCTAGCCAGGATAATGGGGTAAACCCTACTGGCAGTCCCACTCCCCAGGGGGTAATGACACCAACCTGTGAAGGTCCCAACGAATTCCACCTCAGAATTAGAGCAAACGAGCTTCAGAGCCTTATCTTGATAGGTGTTATACTCCACAACTAATAACCCACAAAATGGCCGCCAGGGTCTCGCGAGATTAACGGGCGGAAAGCCCGCGAAAATGGAGCCCTTGAAGCGTTCGGCAGTTTTGCCGCGAACAGCCGTTCGCCTGGCTAACCGTCGAATGCAAGTGAGACTGATCCGTGAACGGACCCGCGAACGGAATGGATTCCCTAGCAATTCGGGAAATTGTCCGTTCGCGTAGTACCTGCGTTCGCGGCAAAAACCCCGCGAACGGCTAGAGGGAGCAAAGTTCCCGACCGCCCGTTCGCGCTCTGTTGCAGCCAATTGCGCGAACGGGACGGCCGCGAACGCCAGACTCCCTGTGTGAATGAGCGTCCCGTCTGTTCGCTCGCGAGCAGAGCGCAACGGTCGGGATAGAAAGGTGGCGAGCGTAGCCACCGGAAAAAAGGGGGGGAAATAGGGTGGGGGGGGGTGGGGGGGGTAGGCTAACCTAACACCACCCCTACTGAAGTGGGGAGGGGGGGGGGCGCTGGGAGAGGCAGTTCCCAGATACCAGAACAGCTTCAGCCCAGTACCCTGCATCAAAATGAACGCAGCTCCCCTGACAGGGAAGGTGAACCTTCTCTGTTTGTCCCGCTGGCACCCAAGCAAATAAAGAATAAAAGAAATATAGTAGAAAACACAACTATATATGAGCAGAGAAAAACAAACATCAATAACATCTAAAAGAAACCTGACAGGAATCTTAAAGAAATAGTACTCTGACCTGACTTGTGATGGAGCAGCAAAGAAAGAGGAAATGGATGGCTACGCTGGGACTTATATATCCTCTGTTCTACTCTGATTGGTTCTTTCTTTAATGATTTTTTTCTTTGCTGCTATGGAGCTAGTAAAGAAAGTTGATGCAAATACGAAGCCTCCTGTCATGTTATAAAATTACTCTCTGTTTGGTTAGTTAGCGCTGATTTTTTTATACCTCAGATAAGAATTGTTTTTAAAGCAACATACACCATGTCTATTTTTGAATTCAGAAATAACTACACCATTGATATCAATCATGTATTTGATACTGAAGATACTAGTCCTATTCAAGCTAAACCAATAATTTTTAGTTAACAAGAACTCTTTAGTAAATTGGAAAAGTCTTTATCCACTGAAATTAAATTGAAATGGGAGATAGCCACACTTAACAAATATAGATGAACAAATTACCCCAAGAGATCTAAGACTACACAAACTACCTACCTCAGATCAGGAAGACGAGGAATGTATGAAAGAATGGTTTACAAAATTACAATTATGTGGGGGGCGGAGCCTAGCATCCAAGCTGTAATCTCCCAAAAACACGGCACAATCGCACACTGGAGATAAGCTGTCATGACGGGGACACCCAGGGGAACTACCCAATACCGAAATCAAGTCTGTAACCCCCCGGGGACCCGACAACATACCCTGAGGCCTACCAGAGATCGAGCAGTGGGGAGACGGCCGCTCCCCGTGCTGACTGACCTGGACATGGCTCCCCTCAGGGCTCTCACCTCCAACCCCCCCTCTGGACCGATGGGGGTCATCTCGGTCCACATTCAGTGACTGGAGAAGCAGTCATGGGCTGAACTCACAGCTCGGTGAACCGCAGCACCAGGGCAGCCGAGCACGTGGCGAACCCAAAATGGCGGCGGCGACAAGCACATCAGGCGAAACAACAGACTGCCACACGGAAATGCCGGACTACTCAGCCAGGCTTAACACTATTTTTGCAGCCTTCTGGGCAAAGGTGGAGAACCGGGCACGGCAGCGCAAACCGAGCGCCCACATGAAACCCAAGCTACTTACTCCTCGGCTACACAGTGCCCCAAGACAGCGCCGCGGAATAAAATGTCCCCCACCAACGAGCAAACGCACAAGAGGAAAATCAGCACCGGAGCTGGGCCACAGAGTCCTGCGAGCCCTCCACACACCCAGTGTACAACCTCACTTTTCTTCCGAGCTGGGAGCTCACCAGGAGGTAGCTCTCCGCCACCACCCATACACCCAGGGAAATAGCTGGGACCCGGTGGAACCCTGGGCCCACGACCCTGATGATGGGGTCATTGGAAATGTGGTACGGGCCCCCGTCAAAGCCTCGGGCCGAAGACAAGTGGCACTCAAGCGACCTGGAATCAGAAGGTGCAGGAGGAGAATCGCAGCATGGAGGGCCAAGCGACCAGCTGGTCAAAGCAGGCATACAGGGGAAGCTAGGCAGCCCCCCAACCAAGTGCGAGGTCAGGAAGGTCTCCACCCTCATCCTGATGGACTGGCTCTCGTATTTTACAACACCATTCCACCCTGTGGAGTGGGCTGAACGCTCATCTGTACCACAAGCTCGCAGTCTACTAACCTTTGCTACCCTGCTGCCTACCTTACACTTCACCGGGACGCCTATCGCTTCTACCTACACGGACGTCGTACCTAACCCTGGACTCCCTCAGATAAGCAAATTTTACAAAGACTCTGTTCTCAGTTTAAACTATAACATGTGTTAATATGTCTAAGTCCAGTTTTCTATTTCAAGCATTTAATCTAGAAAACAACTATGTTACTCACGACTTGCATCGACCTAACTCACTTACCTACAGGGGCGGACTGACCACTCGGGCACTTCGGTCATGGACCGAGGGCCCGAGGCAGTCAGGGGCCCGGCAGCACATCTATGTTCCAGCTGGAGAGATCAGAGATCTCTCCAACTGGAACGGCAAAAAAAACCAAAACTTTTTAATTGATAGGTTGTGGGGCCCCTGATGCAGCGCGGGGCCCCACAGCCTACCACTCTCTAAATCCCCCCCCCCCTTCCCTCCCATGAGACCTGGCAGCTTCAGCAGCTCTCTGCCAGGTCTCCTTCTCCCAGTCCCGCGGTGCTCTGTGTGATGGGAGAGGCAGGGCCAGGAAGTGACATCACTTCCTGTTTACTCCTCTCACACAGAGCCCAGCGAGGGGAAGGAGCAGCAGCCTGGGAGAGAGCAGAGGGAGCAGAGACACGGGTAGGTACTAATCACCCCCTCCCCCCTGTAGCGGAGATGCAATATTCCCCAGGTTGTCTCCGCTTATAATCCAAGTGAGGCTCAGGAACAAGTAAATAATAAATCCATAGGCAAAGTTTCCAGCAGGTAAAATAACAGCAACCTCCCCACAGCAATCCCAATAACTGGACGACACACAGTTTCAGGAGCAGAACTGACAAGCCTTTAATCACAGTCTCCTTATAAAGCATGCTCCCATGCAAGGGAGGGATTACAGTAATTATTACAGTAGCCAATCCTGTCCTGGTAACCTCCCACACATCTCCTCCCCTCAGCCAGCATCATAATCCCCTTATCCAGTACACCAATTCCCCCGTTTCTGGATGTACCCCTAAACGTAGGGGTACCTCTTTAAATCCTACATCCCCTGGTAGCCCTGATCTGGGTGAACAACATATCCAAAAACCACCCAGATCAGACCAGGGGTTCGGGAAAAGTATGGAGGGAATAAAATGACCGACCGCACGAACTGAGATAGCCGAATTCGGTTCCATGTGAATGGGCCCTGCGGTCGGTCCTGGCATAAGGGAATAAAATACACGAAAACCTCTAGCTATAGAGGCTAGGGAGGGTTCGCCTGAATCCCCTCGTTCGGTATTCTCTATCTACCGAACGAGGGGCCGTTCGGTAGTTTGGAACCGAACGGACCAGGGCTGTGGAGGTCTCAGCGGTGTTCGCCTACTCGAGTGTCCGATTTTAGTTCCAGACACTCGACGGCAAAACACCGCTGTTCGGGAGTTTTAAAATGGCCGCCACGTGTTCGTTTGTCGAATGGCGGCCACCCCCGAGAACAAAGGACGGCTACTTACTGTTCAATTACCCGTTCGCAACAATGTTGCAACGGGTAATTGAGGACACACTTCACACAGGGGAGGTCTGGTTGTTCGGTAGTTTCATTCGAATAAACTAAGGGAACGAAACTACCGAACAATCACAAGAATACAAGGCTTTAGAACACATAGGAAACTAACAGATCACACGAATGCATTTATTTCACAGACATTTGCAGGACAGCCCAGTGCCATCCGCTACACTGCTCCCCCTTGCCCACAAGCCGGCATACACAGTCTGATCCAACACGGATCGGCTTGGGGATGTCCGGGGACTCACGGATCATTTCTCCAGGTCAGTTTGTCTTGACAACCCGTCGGCATTCCCATTCTGTTTACCCGGGCGGTACTGAATATTAAAGTCAAAAGGCTGCAGCGCCAAACTCCAGCGCAGCAGCCTGGCATTGTCCCCAGCCACCCGGTTTAGCCAGACCAACGGGTTGTGATCCGTGAGTAACGAAAAAGGCTGTCCATATAGATACGGCTGTAGTTTCTTTAAGGCCCACACCACAGCCAGGCATTCCTTCTCGATGGCGGCGTAGCTTACTTCTCTGGGTAACAGCTTGCGACTGATGTAAGCCACGGGGTGTTCTCCGCCATCGGCTCCGACTTGGCTCAGTACTGCTCCCAATCCAAACATAGAAGCGTCTGTGTGAACAAGAAAACGTTTAGTTGGATTGGGAGCTGCCAAGACAGGAGCATTTATCAGTGCATTTTTCAGATGTTGGAATGCCTGCTCACACTCCGGGGTCCAGGTCACCTGGCGGGGCAAATTCTTCCGAGTAAGGTCAGTGAGAGGTTTGGCGAGGGCGCTATAGTTAGGGACAAACTTCCTGTAATACCCAGCGGTCCCTAGAAAGGCTAACACCTGGGTTTTAGTCCTAGGAGTGGGCCACTGGGCCACGGCTTCTACCTTGGCTGGTTCGGGCTTCTGTTTGCCGCAACCCACTCTATGTCCGAGGTACTGCACCTCGGCCATCCCTATGCTGCACTTGGCCGGTTTCAATGTCAAACCAGCTTCCTTAATCCTGTCTAGAACCGCTCCTATATGGGCCAAGTGCTCCTGCCACGTATTGCTAAAAATGGCAATATCGTCCAGGTAGGCACAGGTGTAGTCTTGGAACCCATCCAGGAGTCGGTCTACCATCCGCTGGAAAGTAGCTGGGGCGTTTTTCATCCCAAATGGCATGACCTTAAACTGGTACAAGCCAAATGGGGTGACAAAGGCCGATTTCGGGATGGCCTCTGGGGCCAGGGGGATTTGCCAATACCCCTTACATAAGTCAATGGTAGTGAGGTATTGACCCCTGGCCATTCTGTCCAGTAGCTCATCTATCCGTGGCATAGGGTATGCATCGGACACCGTTTTCTCGTTTAATCTCCGGTAGTCTACGCAGAAGCGGGTCGTACCGTCCCGCTTCGGTACGAGTACTACCGGAGAAGCCCAGGGACTATCTGAGGGCTCAATCACCCCCAGTTGGAGCATCTCATCGATCTCCTTGCGCATGTTTTCCCTTACCGCTTCGGGGATGCGGTAGGGGGTCTGACGCATCGGTAATTGCCCTGGGGTCTCTACCCGGTGAGTGGCCAGAGGGGTGTACCCAGGTACGTTAGAGAACGTGTCTCGTTTCTCTTCCAACAGCTGCCGTACCTCGATGCGCTCCTGTGGGCTCAGCCGGTCTCCCAGTGTGACTTCCCCTAAATCCCCAGACAGCTGCCCATCTTCCAGCAGATCTGGGAGTGGTAAGCTGTCAGACTCATCTGAATTGGGCGCGCATATGGCGGTTACCTCCTCGGAGCGTGCTTGGTAGGGCTTCATCATGTTCACATGGAGCATGCGTCGCCCTCCCGTCCCTGTACAGGAGCCAATTATATAGGTGGTGTCACATCTCTGTTCCACCACCTTATAAGGTCCCTGCCAGGCGGCCTGTAGCTTGTCATGTCGGACAGGCTTTAAAATCAGCACTTTCTGCCCGACCTGAAAGCTACGGTCCCTGGCTCCCCGATCATACCATGTGCGCTGGCGAGTCTGTGCCGCCTGAAGGTTTTCCCTTACCGTCCTGGTTAAGGCTTCCAGGCGGTCTCGGAGAGCCAACACATAAGGTATGATGGGGGTGCCATCTGCGCTCCGGTCTCCCTCCCAATGCTCTCTTATAAGATCTAAGGGGCCTCTGACCCTCCTCCCAAACAGCAGTTCAAACGGGGAGAACCCCGTGGATTCCTGCGGCACCTCCCGGTAAGCGAATAGGAGATGCGGCAGGAACCGCTCCCAGTCCTTGTGGGTCTCTGCGAAGGTTCGGAGCATTTGTTTCAATGTGCCATTGAACCGTTCGCAGAGCCCATTAGTCTGGGGGTGGTAAGGGGCACTGATAATAGGCTTAATGCCACAGATCCTCCAGAGGTGTTGGGTGAATTCTGCGGTAAATTGGGTACCCTGATCCGAGATAATCTCCCTGGGTAATCCCAACCGGGAGAATATCTGCATGAGGGCATCCGCGACCGTTTCAGCCTGAATGTTGGTCAGAGCCACCGCCTCTGGATATCTGGTAGCATAGTCTACTACCGTTAAAATGTACCTTTTGCCTGACGGGCTGGCTTTCTTGAGGGGACCTATCAAGTCTACCGCTATTCTGCTAAACGGTTCCTCAATTATTGGCAAGGGGTGTAGCTTCGCCTTCCTCCGGTCTCCCCTTTTCCCTACCCTCTGGCAGGTGTCGCAGGTGGTGCAATACCGGCGCACTTCCTGGCTGATCCCTGGCCAGAAGAAATTTTGGGTCAGTCGATACCTAGTACGGCTGACCCCTAGATGTCCGGATAGCGGGATATCGTGCGCTATCCGGAGTAGCTCTGCTCGGTACCGCTGCGGCACCACTAGCTGCCTCGTCACTATTGGGTCTGACCCCTCAATCTGCTTGTCTGTCTCCCTGTACAAAAGCTGCTTGTCCCAGACAAATCTCTCCCCCTCTCCCCCGGAGGGTCTGCTGTCACCTTGTCTCTGTATACCTGCAAGGTGGGGTCAGTCACTACCTCTGCTGCGAATTCGTTAGGAGGGGCCCAGGGGACACAGTCAAGGGAAGGGGAAGGGTCTCTTACCTGAACCTCCGGAAGTGTGTTGTAGTCCTGGGTGCGGGCCTGTTGACGGGTGACCACAGGATGAGCTTCTCCTGTGGTGGACGTCTGGGGCTCAAAAGCAGATGTGAGCCTCCCCAGATCGTTCCCCAATAAAACCTCCGCCGGTAACTGCGGCATCAACCCCACCTCCACATGTCCTGCCCCCGCTCCCCAATGTAAATGTACCCTTGCTGTAGGTAGCCGGTACACTGCTCCCCCGGCTACCCTGACGGCCACAGTTTTACTTAGTCTCGCTTCATCCGAGACCAGATGACTTTTGACCAAGGTGATGGTAGCCCCCGAATCACGTAGGCCCTGTACTGCTTTACCCTCCAAGTATACGG